CATAAGGTCGCCAAAGAGAGCAACGTAATGGCCAACAGATGTTCTCCCCCTCCCCCTTATTGTCAAATGTGTTTCTATTCTGCTGGGAAAAAAACACCCAACCAGCATGAGGCCGAAAATACCGGCCCCCCAAAAAAAAAAATAGATGTGCGGGTATGCTGGCATCATTGATACGGCTCGAGTTTGGATAGGACTTGCGAGAAAGAACCCCGATTCACACTGCGCTGGCACCATCTAAGAAACCTGTGTCTCTTTGTGTCAGCATCGTTGGGCCTTTCGCAATGCCGCGATGCTGCCTCAGTTTTCAGATTGAGAGTGGGCGGAGACGCGGCAGGGTTCAGGCTGAAGTGAAAGCGATCGACTTCCTCTTGATGAAATGTTTCTGCTGACTACTCACTGGTGCTGAGTCAGCAACCCGGGTTATTTGCGCACAGTCAACTCGCACAAGTGTTAGCCAGACACAACTGGTACCGAGCAGACGGTCACCATGAGCAGCACACACACCAACACAACTCCACATCCCGCACGTTAAATGTACACCTTTGCACAGATCGTTGCCAGCAGTGGTAATCCACCTGCGGGCTCCAGGATCTGTTGTTTTGATGGTTTCACGACCACAAAAGAAGAAAGCTTTTTTTTTTAAACGAGTAGAAGACATCCTGCCGTGACGAGTTTGTTAAGACGATTTTCCCGCAACCTTCCAGTCGTCCCTGGTTTGAGTTCACCTCCACCTGAGCAGAACTGCCGAAACACAAATCGTATTTAAAAAAATGAATACATTAGGGGCCTGTGTTGGTGTGGGGATATTTTTTCTACATTTGATTTTACAACTATGAGAGAAGTTACAGGCAAAGACTCATCATTCTCCTGTCCTTCGAAAACAATAGTGGGGAAGATTCTTGCCATTTATGTTAAAAGTAAAAGTAACACAAGCCTGAGCCTAAGCGATGTCCTCCTTTGCTCCTCTCTGTCGATCACAACAACGGGGCACACACACCACACACACACACACACACACACACACGACAACAGCACCACAGCTGACTTCTGGCTTTGTATCGAATGAATCCTGATCCTGTGTGTAGATAACCCCGCTTCCTCTGGTGTGAAGTTTTTTGTACACAAAGCCCTAAGAGAGAGCGAGCGAGAGAGAGGGTAAAATGTTTAATTTCAGCCCCCCCCCCCCGCCTCTCGTCGCCGGTGCGTTAACCGGACACCGAGCTCACCTCGCCGGGTCGTGTCAGCCCCGCAGGCTCCGTGTTTTTGTCCGCTGAGCGGTCGGAGAGTCGCTCGGCTCTGCGGCAGCTTTTTGTTGCATAGGTTGTCCGCTGCTCCTGCAACTGAAGCCAGGGCTTTAAATACGCCTTTAAAGGAATATCTGTCGGAAGAAGAGACGTAGCGCTGGCTTCCGTCGACGTCACGGGTGATTTGCATAAAGGGGCGGGGCCTCGGTGGTTGTATACAAAAGAGCGGAGAGGCAGAATTTTTAAAGGGGAATACCGTAATAAAAGGGTCGGTGGTTACAAGTATCTTTACTCAACTACAACTTTATGGTACTTTGTTTATTAATTTTATACAACTTTTAACTTTTACT